AATCCTGTTTTATTGACATAAATATCAGATGCCACTCTACTGTACTGTATATCTTCCATAATGTCTTGATAAATTTAATTTAAATGCTTAGTTTTTTATATTAACCTCATAATAAATAATGCAAAATGGTATAATGATGATCGAGAGATGAAAAATAAAGACATCAGATGTTTTAGAGGCTGCAGAAGATCATTCACTGCTGAGGAACAGAGAAACTAAAGGTTCTGGAAATTAAAACCTTCCTCAAAAACTCCTGATGTTTGAATGTAATGATGATGCACGGATAATCAAGTAAATATAAGTGGCTTCAGGGGTGGCTCAGTGGTGTCGGACTAAGGCACTGATTCGAGTCCCGGCTGAGTCAGTTGGTGTTTCTGTGTGGAGTTTGCATGTTCTCCCCGTGTTGGTGTGGGTTTCCTGCACAGTCCAAACACATACGCTATAGGATGATGAACTAAATTGGTCATAGTGTATGAGTGTATGTGTGTGGATGAGTGTGTATGGGTGTTTCCCAGTACTGGGGTGCAGCTGGAAGGGCATTCGCTGTGTGAAACATATGCTGGAATAGTTGGCGGTTCATTCTGCTGTGGCGGCCTCTGAAATAAAGACTAAAGCCGAAGGAAATGAATGAACAAAACTGAGTTAATTCCAGTCAAACTAAAAGAGATAAACCTTTCTACAGAAAAAAGAGGAAATACTGTTAAAAAATGGATGGATATACTTAAAAAGAATTATAATTTCATTGGAGGACAAATCATTTTGTCTTTAACCTTAACCTTTAACCTTAGTAAGAATATGAAAGACAAAACAGCTCTATTTTATTCAGATAACTGACTACTTAAAGTGTTTATAAGACTATATTTAAATGCTCAGTTTTTGATATAACCCTCATAATATATAACGCACGATGGTAATTACAATTACATTCAAATGCATTACATCAATATAATGATGGTCGAGAGATGAAAAACAAAGTCTTCAGATGTTTTAGAAGCTGCAGAAGATCATTCACCGCTGAGGAACAGAGAAACTAAAGGTTCTGGAAATTAAAACCTTCCTCAAAACTCCTGATGTCCAGTGTAATGATGTTGCGCGGATAATCAAGTAAATATTGCTATTGCTAATGTTGCTTCACACTTATCATTTACAAGTTACTCCAATGTGTATTTTCTAAAAGTAGCAAAATGTTTGACAATATTAACAAAGATATTAACAGATGAAAACGATTACACTACAAAGAAAAAAAAATAATCTGATCTATCAATAATTTGACTTTGTTCGTTAAATACCCTATTTTGTTAAACAACGTCACTTTGAAATTAATTTGTCTGACAAAATTCATTCATTCATTTTCAGCTTAGTCCCTTTATTAGTCAGGGGTCGCCACAGCAGAATGAACCGCCAACTTATCCAGCATACGTTTTATGCAGCACATGCCCTTCCAGCTGCAACCCATCACTGGGAAACACCCATACAACTTGCATTCACACAAATACACTACAGACAATTTAGCTTACCCAATTCACCTTTACCACGTGTCTTTAGACTTGTGGGGGTAGCCAGAGCACCAGGAGGAAACCCACGCAAACGCGGGGAGAACATGCAAACTCCACACAGAAACACCAACTGACCCAGCCAAGGCTCGAACCAGTGACTTTCATGCTGTGAGACAAGAACGCTACACATTGCGCCCCCTTGTGCACTCTGACGAAATTCGAGTCTTTTAAAGCAGTTGCTCTGCGCTAACGCTGCTTTAGCACCCCCTTGTGGCTGAACTGAAGATGCACATGTACTAATATTGGATTATGAATAGTGATGCATGACCACTAGCTTGCTTTGAGTAAAAAAAAAAAAGGCACGTGCGCTCTTGCGTAGAGGATTTCAGGCTTTATCTGAGCTGAACACACACATATAAGAGGAAACCCTACTAAAATATACGCTTCAGATGTCAATTATCAACACGGGAATGTTATTTCTCACATAACGGTATTTTAAACCCCCCCAGATCAACCACTAAGACACTCATTTTTACACCATATAAATGTAACATGTTGTGGAAATAAATGACATCAAAACAGAAGTGTCTCTCCGTGTGTTTATTTGCATGTAGCGGCAGTGGCGTTTGAATTATTTCAGTAGTAATAATAGTTTTTATTAGTAACATTTCTCTGGCATCAGAGCCACGGCCGCAGCTGCTTCAGTCTGCCTCTGAACAGGCTCTGGGCTCGAAAAAGGGGCGGAGTCCGAACGCTCCACTGCATGTGTGAGTGGGTGGAGCTTGGCTGGGTGGGAGGGGCTTGACTCCACCTCTGAGGAAAAACACTGTTTGAAAATAGAACTGGAGGAAATGAGACGGTTGCCGGGCGCAACACTTCGTGTCGCCCTTTTGGAACAGAAGGAGGCGGAGTCAGCATCGTTGAAGAGTGATTGTCATTGGTGGAAACTGCAGCCGCAGCCAAACGAGATAGACGATGTGAACTGGAGAAAGGGGCGGGGCTGGGGGCGGAGTCTGTTCTTGACAAATTGGACATTGGAGGACCGCTGGGTTTATCTGAGGAGATACAGAAGAATGTTTTAAAAATAATCTCAATATCGTCGAAATAAAATCGTCATGTAGCTACACTAGTTAACGTTACCGAAGTGTGCCGCAATCCGACTTTTGCTTAATGTCGGCTCTGATTGGCTTGCTTTCATTTCGCGGTTTAAAAACTCCGCCACAAGTGATTGGTCGCTCTGTGTGGCATGTGGGCGTGTCTTCACCGAGCGTCTTTGATTGGCAGGTGCTCTGTGACTCCGCCTCCTGCGCACTTGTTTCTTGATTGGCTGGTTTGGATGAAGGCCGTCCAGTAAGCCTTTGGCTGCAGCGCGAGCGAGCACTTCCTGAGGCGTCTCGATCACTTCTGGTTGTAGCTGTGCAGAAGAACAAACACAAAACAAGACAAATATAAATATAATATACTGGATTATGCGTTCTGAAGAGACAGATTAAAACGATAAACGTACAGTATCAAATCTTTTGAACTGTAGTCAAATAATTCCTATTTTCATTATTATTGTATGTGTAACGGAGGCCGCCTAGAAAGTGCTGTGCAGGTAAACCTCACTCCTCCGACCTCTAAAGGTGCTCTAGCGACAGATGCTGGAGGCCATGGTCTTTAGCCTCCTTGGTAGAGCAACCGACTCCCATGCGGAAGGTCGCTGGTTTGATGCCAGCTGGGAGTGGGTTGAGTGGCGTGGGATCGGCGGGGTTGCATATGTAGATTAAATTATTTTGTATTTTTCTGTTTTAATATTAAGTTTTTATTTGTTTGTAATTTTGCCTTTTTATTTGCACAAATACTTTAAACTTTTTAAATATTTTTAATTTCAGTAAACAAATGTTTTATTTACATTCTAATATAAATATTTCCTCAGCAGCTAGTGGAAAAAATAAGGCTTCATTTGTCAATTATTTTACAACTCTTAGAATGTAGAATTTTTTAATGTAAAAATAACAACAACAGTATTATAAACCAAACTAAACAAAATATTACAAAATACACATATATACACTCACCGGCCACTTTATTAGGTACACCTGTCCAACTGCTCGTTAACACAAATATCTAATCAGCCAATCACATGGCAGCAGCTCACTGCATTTCGGCATGTAGACATGGACAACAAGTGAGCATCAGAATGGGGAAGAAAGGGGATTTAAGAGACTTTGAACGTTGCATGGTTGTTGCTGCCAGACTGGCTGCTCTGAGTATTTCAGAAACTGCTGATCTACTGGGATTTTCACGCACAACCATCTCTAGGGTTTACAGAGAATGCTCCAACAAAGAGGAAATCTCCAGTGAGCGGCAGTTCTGTGGGCGCAAATGCCTTGTTGATGAGGCCAGAGGAGAATGGCCAGACTGGTTCCAGCTGATAGAAAGGCAACAGTAACTCAAATAAGCACTCGTTACAACCGAGCTCTGCAGAAGAGCATCTCTGAACACACAACACGGCCAACCTTGAGGCGGATGGGCTACAGCAGCAGAAGAGCACACCGGGTGCCGCTCCTGTCAGCTAAGAACAGGAAACTGAGGCTACAATTCACACAGACTCACCAAAACTGGACAATAGAAGATTGGAGAAACGTTGCTGCTCTGATGAGTCTCCATTTCTGCTCACACATTCGGATGCTCGACTCAGACAACATGAAAGCATGGATCATCCTGTCTTGTATCAGCGGTTCAGGCTGGTGGTGGTGGTGTAATGGTGTGGGGGAAATTTTCTTTGGGTCCATTAGTACCAATTGAGCATCAACGCCACAGCCTACCTGAGTATTGCTGCTGACCATGTCCATCCCTTTATGAGTCTCCATCTTTATATTTTCCAGAGCTGTCTGTTTATACATATTTATACGTGTTTTTAAATTCTTTGCCATGTTTGTGTATTTCAAAATGCAATTAGGAAAGATTAAACTGTAGGTGATGTAA